AGGAATGCATGTTTTACAGATTGTGTTTAACAAATTATTGCCAGTTTAATCAACACGTGCCAAACATTTACATTCTTAAATTACTTACTATTTTAGAATAGAAGAGAATCAAAATAAGAAAGAAAAAAAACCCTGAACTTTGTTCAGTTGCTATTAAGGCTTTAGACAAGTAAACCTGACCTTTATTTGTTGTGCTCGTCTCTTACCTGGATAATAATTTCAGATGAAATCTCTTCAGCTTTCTTTTGGGATATATTCTGAATGTGTATAAACTGGTTTGTTGACGGCACTCCTTGTGCATCCGTTTTCCTCTCTATTAAAGCAGGATCAGCAGCAGGAGGACTTGAACAGGACTCTTTACATTTCAGTTGCTGGGAGATGGAAGTTGCCGTCAATCCTATTGCAGTCACCTTCGGCACTTGGGTACAAACTGACGATTCTGCTTCACTAGCGAGTTTACTAGTGGACATGGCCTTGTTTGGGGGATCCACTATCATATGTTCTATGTTTGTGTCAATCTGAGCTTCCATCATAGACATTTTCAAAATGTCTGCTACTGCTGTCTTCACAGATGCCTGCATAGGAAATAGGCTTGTAACTGGCGACGCCAGTTTGGGCACAGAATTGCCACCTGCTACCTTTGAAACAGTAGGAGGCTGTCGCCCCTCAAAAGTTATCTTTGTAACTGTGGATCCTTGAGTTATAATTGGCTGCTGCACCTGAAAATCAAATTTTTGTTGTGCATGTTACAGCTATTTTTTATTTAAACCTAATCAATATTTATCTGGACAATACGGCACAAACAACATACTTGCTATTAGGAAGACAGTTGAAGCTCAGAATTTTAACAAAGGAATCAGCAGTGATATAACATTTAACTGAAGCCTAGGGAAGGTAGCTTTTGGACTGCTAGACAAGGTTTCTAGCAGAATATCACAATAGCCTCATTTTCCTTTGGGATTTACATCCTCATGTAATATATATTGAGCCCTTCTTATTATTTTATATATGCTACAAAGGGCAGGGAAATAGTATGTTTTTGGCATTAAAATACATATCTAGTATTTTATTTTCCTCTGTCTTTACACCTTCCCCTTCCAAGGAATGTGCAATTGCTCTTGTAGGTAAAATTATTTATCTGAAGGGTAATGGTGATGTAAACTACAAAGGAAGATGTACAATGGAGATCCTTAGGAGACTGCAGCATATTCATTTTTATTTCCACAGAATTTTTTTTAAAAGTTATGGGAATGGAAATCAATTATGTTATACCCAAAAATATAAAAGAAATTAGGGACAAATTCCATGCACTGTTGGTTGCAGAAATTCACAAAAAACTGTCCAACAAAATTGACTTGTGAGCTCTATGTTTTTTTCCCTATATAATAACATGTGCTTCTCTTTCCTAGTGTCAACCTTCTGATGGGGAAATTAATACCAGCATAATGAGTTCTCTCTTGCCAGGAGAAAACATGGCTACAGCAACTGGGTTGGTGTTTGGATTTTTCCTTGAACAGCGACGTTTTATTTTGCATGCTATCAATATTCTGTTACCTGGCTTGCTGGCTGTTTCTCTGAAGAGGCAGGTAGCTGCATTTGACTCTGGGGGGGTTGGGGCTGCACGTAGATTTTTTGTGCCGTTGGTGCCTGTTGCAGTTTGGGCAGCTGTTGCGTGGTTTTTACTGCAAGCACCTGTACTACAGTTTGCTGTGGCTGTGCCACTAAGGTAGGGAGTTGCCTTTCTTTGGCCATCATGTGGTGTGGGGTGTGCTGTGCATCTGGTTTGGTCTGTGCTTGCTCCTGCTTAAGTGGGGTTAGCTTTTGATGCCGGATAGAGAGTTGGGGCATTTGTGGGAGTTTGTGCTGGATCTGATCAGCTTGCAGGTGGATGGTCTGCTTTTGTTTAGTCTGGAAGCACTGCAGAGTTTTCACTTGTAGTTGAGTCTGTTCCAGCTGTGGCTGATTCAGTTTCTGCTGTTTCTGTGCCTGTGACTGCGTCAGGGCAGATCTGTAAAACAGGCCAGTCTGAGGATCTAAGGTATCCATCTCTTCCACTTCTCCTTCCTCAGTTCCAAGTTGTTCACTGTGTTTGGTAAATGCAGTGTGGCTGCTTAAAGCCTTAATACAAAAATTTACAAATGAAAAAGTAATGAGATACCATCTAATTTACTGTAGAATACACACATCTAGTGATATTACAGAATATTTAAATTGTACTGTTTTAAAAGCAGAATATATCATATGATTTCAGGTGTCCAACTTGTATTTAAAAACAGAAATACCCTAATATGCTGAGTTCCCAAAGCCATAGTAGCACTCAGTGGCTGTGGCACCCACTACCTGCCTTTTAGTTGCAGATAGTCTTCTCAATGGAGCTTACATTGCTCTTACATTTCAAATATTAAAATTCAGATCACCTCAAACTCCATGATGCCTGAATAGGAAATGGAACAGATTGGCTGGTACAACAGAGACCTTAGGTTGGTGAATTGACAGGTTCTTGTTAAAGCTAGGAACCAGTACCTTAAGACATTTTGATTCTATTTCCTAACAGTTTGTCTCCTCTGATGTTTCTTGGTGACTTCTTCTACAATAGAGATGTTAGTGTGTAGTCGTTTACATGAGTAACTGATAAACTGGTCTTATCAGTTAATCCTAATGACTACATGCACACACCTCCCCTTACTTCCTCTGTATCAGAGGAAGCAAGGGTGGTGGGGTGGGAACCACCTCCCATGGGGAGCTGCCTGCTTCTCCCCCCCACAATGCCTCCCACACAAAGGCAGCAGCATGAGTGGGCAGTTCTCAGGGAAACCGGCTTAAAAGATGGCTCTCGGGGAAGCCGGCTTAAAAGATAGCTCCACACAAGCACCAGCTCCCACGTAGCTGTCTGCGCCTGCCTCGCCACGCTACTGCCTCTGACAGAGAAGCAGCATGTGTGGAAGGTGCGGGGGCAGGCAGGGGATGGTATACACAAGAAGGAACAGGAACTCACAGTGGACCAAATTCTATCCCCATACTTGGGTTTCCACTGACACCAACCAATATGACATGCATTCAAATCAAAACCTGGTCCTATATAACTTGTATAACCTACTTATGCTTATAGACTGTTTGGAAAATAAAAGGGTACAACCTGTTGCATGATATGAGTAATTGCTCCTGTGGAAGATGCAGGGATAGATTTCACCACAACAGAAGTCTGTGTTGCTGTCTGCGACTGAGCCACATGCTGCAGCAGAGTCCTCTGGGGTTGGGATGACTGCTGGTGGGGCTGTGACCGATGACTGACTGAAAGTAAAGAAGTCAATGGTACTTCACCAGAACTAACTGTAATAGCTTATGCTACTTGATTTGTTTTATCTTCACGTGAAAGCAAATATGGATGAAATAAAAATCTGAGTATGCAATGAGTCCTTTACTGTATGCTAGCTTCATTCTTAAAGTGTATTTCTACTCTGAGAAGCATCTTAAAATTGGCTATGAAGTATAGTGTATGTCTCAGAGATTTCTGAGCAAGTGTGTGCTCAGTTTAAAAATGTCCCTCGCCCCGCAAAACGAGTCTTATGAACTGAATTTGTGCTCAGGTTTTCAAGCTGAATTCTTTCATGCATCACTAGTATGGACCAAATTATGTTGTTACATTTTTACGACTCCACTGAGGCCATGCAGTTGCACAGGCATAACTGAAAATGTCAAAACGTGATTACAGAAAGTTACTGATCGTATGTGAGAAGAGAACTTTGGGGCTCTCAAATCCTACATTAAACGTACAGGGCTAGCAATTACAAAATATTTACATGTAAAGAAAGTTGAGAAAATTTACTCAGAAGTCAATGAGGAGACAAAAATGGACTCATCATGCCTGTTTTTAAAGTTGCTTATCAAACTAGACCTACATCAACTTTGAAGCTATAACTTTAGCTCCATGACTAACCAGATGGGTATGTAGAGTGAAATAGCCCTAAATTGAAATAATGATTTATTCTATTATCTAGCAAAGCAGCCAATAGCATCAACAGAAAACCCAAATTAGCTTTTAACAATTCATACCATTATGTAAATATTTGCTTTAATTAACTTATTCCTAAATGCATCATGTACTGGAAAATATAGTATGGTATGAGATGATTACATCCAGATGTAACTGACAGTGACTAGAAGTCCATCTTCACTAGTAATTAGAAGGAATGCCAAAGTTTGGATGAATATGGAAACTTAAGCTCCCATTCCTAGAAGGGGTTGGATAAAATCAGCGGTGCCTTGCATGCTATACCAGTAATTACTGGATATCCCCAACAGTTTCTACAAAATTTAAAACAATTTAAAAGTTAAATTTCTAACCTATATGGTTGTGTAGAAATTCTTCCGAATGTGAACCAATACACAGTTGTCTTCCTGAGTCTGCAGACAGACAAAAAATGATAATACTAAGAGGTGTGAATTGCCCCACTCAACTCAATGGGTGCTAATGTTGAAGCCCAACAGCCATGTAGATTTATTTAAAATATGCCTAAGCCTTTGCTCTAGGTGCACATATAAAAAAATCACAACATTTAAATGTTGATATAGTACATTATTTCACTGCTTATCATTTTAACAGAAAATCCAGTTATTATGGGATTACTGGCATAACTGTTTCATATACACATTCAATGACTACTCCTTAAACTCAGGTGGGAAGAAACAGGAAGTAACTATGCTTTTAAGCTGTTACAAAGGCTGCTGCTTTCCAACTCATGGATGATTGCTTAATTGGTGGGAAAAGCAAATGACCCTATCCTGTAATCCTGTAAATCACTTTGAACTTTATAAAAAAAAAAAAAAAGAGTTTTCCATTACTTATTATTGTAAATGCAGGGAAGCTTTCACTGTTGTCAGTTATCATGGTTGCATGGAAAAAGAAAATTCAAACTATAGAAATGTCAAACAGGCATTTTTAGAAGAAGTGATTTAAAAATGTGTGTGTAGCTTACCTTGACTTTTCCCCTCTTCCCAAAAAACGAGTGGTCCTGTAGCACCTTAGGGTACATCTACACATCAACATTATTTCAAAATAACTAGCATTATTTTGAAATAACTTAGTCCATGTCTACACAGCAGGCAGTTATTCTGAAATCATGTTGAAATACTGTCATGCTGAAGGACTTCTTACTCCAACTCCTGTAACTCTCATTGTACGAGGAGTAAGGGAAGTTGGAGGAAGAGTGCTCTATCTTGAAATAAGTGCTGTGTAGATGCTACCAGTTTAGAAATAAGCTATTTTGAAATGAGCTACGCAATTGACCCTTAGAGACTAACAAATATACATATATATAGTATCATGAGCTTTCATGGGCACAACGCACTTCTTCAGATGAATGGAGTAAGGGGTCCATGGTGCAAATAAATATAGAGAGGGGATGGGGAGGGAAAATTAGAGTGTCCATGCTGAATGAGGTTAATGGAGTGGGCTGTAAGTGCCTGGTACTTAAGCTTTTGATGTCATTAGGGTATGGAATTTAGCAGCCCATTCAGTTCAGGTCTTTGTTCAAACCTTGATTACAGGTGTCAAATTTGTAAATGAAACCAAGTTCCACAGCTTCTCTCTCCAGCTGTTTTTTTGAAATTGCTTTGTAATAATATAGTCATTTTTAGATCCATTAGTGAGTGCCCTGGCAAGTAAAAATCCTCCCCAATAGGTTTCTGTGTGTTACCATTTCAAATATCTGATTTGTGTGCATTAATCCTTTATTGCAGAAACTGTCCAGTTTGGCCAATACACATGGCAGAGGGGCATTGCTGGCACTTGATGGCATAGATCACATTAGTGATGTGCAGTTATATGAGCTCTGATGTGGTATCTTATGTAGTTAGGTCCTGTGATGATGTCACTTGTACAGATGTGTGGACAGAGTTGGCACCAGAGTTGATTGCAGGGGTGGGTTCCTGGGTGCCTATGATAGAGGTCTGCTGCGTGGTTGCTGGAAAGAATTTGTTTCCGGTTAGGGCAGGGGTGTCCAAACTTTTTTCAAAGAGGGCCAGATTTTATGAAGTGAACATGCGTGAGAGCCGACCATTTTGCCTGACATTCTTTGAACCATTAAAATTAAACGCAAATTAACTATTTTATGCAAAGTTTATTGCAAACAGCATACTTTTCATTTCGTCACATGGATGACAAATCTAAACAGGTGTTAAATCACTCTGCCTTTCATATCTGAAGGCCAGATGAAAAAAAAATCCAGAAAGCTGAAATATATGTCAGGAATATTGTAAAGTACATTACATATTATTGGTAATAAAGGTTGTCTGTCAACTTTTAAGTTCAAAAAATATGAACAGGAACATAACACCAAGTATACATGTTGTGTCCAAATATATTTATAACTGATTTAGACCAACTGACATTAACTGAGATTTTACAATGTATTCATCTCAATACATATGGCATCGTTGGGGGCCATAAAAGATAGATATTGCCAAATTACCTGTGGGGCCGTATTAAACCGGAACACGGGCCGCAATTGGCCTGCGGGCCGGACTTTGGACATGCCTGGGTTAGGGTGTTGTTTGTAGGCAAGGATTGGCCTGTCCCCCAAGGCCTGCGAGAGTGAGAGGTCATTTTTCAGAATAGGTTGTAGATTGTTAATGATGCGCTGGAGGGGTTTAAGTTGGGGGCTGTAGGTGATGACCAGTGGTGTTCTGTTGTTTTCTTTGTTGGGCTTATCTTGAAGAAGCTGATGCCTGGGTACTTGTCTGGCTCCATCAACATGTTTTTTCACTTTCCCGGGTGGATATTTATGTTTTTAGTTTAAGTTCTGAAGTGGGTTGTGCCCACAAAAGCTCATGATAATATATTATTTGTTAATCTGTAAGGTGCAACAGGACCACTATTTTTTTTAAGTTACAGACTAACAAGGCTACCCCTCTGAGACTTATGACTTTTCCATTAGATCTTGAAAAAATCTAAAATGGGATACGTGAATAGAAGGTACAATGCACAATGTATGGTAAGGTCAGGGAATATGGCTGACCTTCAAATAAATGGTGATCAATTTAATAATTTTATAATGTATACTTACTTGTTATTAAATACTTATTATACGTCTTGTTACTCAAATAACATTTTAATATTAAGTCAATGTTTTCCCACCAGAAATCCATTGGAGTTAGATTCTCATATGCAGAATTGAAGCCAGATACAGTAAGCAGTGTGTGAGTGCGTGTGATTATATAAAGTTTCACTCAACTTAAAAGTGATATAAGGAAACAACAAAAAAGGATGGAAAAGAAGGGAGTGGAAAATGAAAACTAGAAATACTAGGTTAGATTTTCTCACTAAATTATAATAAAAAATGCCTACCTGGATAAAAGAAAGCTACTTGCTCATTACTGATAAGTAAATTGAATTCTACAAAGTTGGGTGAACTAATTTGGCAAGAAGTCTTTTACCTTTCCTAACAAACTCATCATACCCTGCACTTTACTTTCTACTTTTCCTTCCAAGGAGTTTTCCCCAAAGACATCAACAGGAGCACTTTGCCCTTTCATCACCAGATCAGAGTATGTTTAAAATGATCTGCCTTGAAACAAAGACTTCGTTTCATTTTACACCAGAAACTGATAGATCAGAGAATGAGCATCTACCAGGGAAAAGAAGAAGCGGCCCCTGCTCCTTAATGTGTCTTCAAAGTTTGGGGGGGGAGGGGGGGAACAGTATGAATTTCCTCTATAGCAGGCGTCTCAAACTGCTGGCCCACAGGCCATGCCTAGCTTGAGCAATTGCCAAATATGGCCCAGGAGTATCGGTTAGTTGGGGGGAAGGAGGAGGGTGTAAGAACCATGCCCCAAGAGCTGTCCCTTCTCAACACCACCCTGCTGCCCTCTTGACAGCACACCAATGGACACCGCCTCAGGGATCACTGAGGGGGCAGGAAATGGTGCTGGGTGATAGCCAGCCCTTAGGGTTCAGGGTGCCATGTGGGGCAGTGGCAGAAAGTGGGGTGGTTGCAGGGCAGAGCAGGAGTTGGAGAACAACACACCTCCGGCCTGTCAGTACTGCCAGGCCAGATTGCACAAACGCTCCGGAGAGGGATGGCCCATGGGCTAGGAGTTTGAGACCCCCCCACTATAGAAATATGAGAAAAGGAAGTCAGAAAATACTGACCTCATTCCTCTCCATGGAACATCAACAAAAAGGCTTTCCACTGAAAACCAACCATCCTAATTCCAGTATTCACAATATATTTTTGTAGCCACTTACCAGTTGTGATATATTCAGCAACTAATTCTGACTCTACCACAGCAATGGAAGGGCTTTCTGGAGAATGCCTTTTCTCCTGGGTCATCTGAATAGGAACTGCCATTTGGCTCAGGTCAATGGTGGGTTGCCTTGGTTTTGATTCTAACTTCTCCTTCACTGTTTAAACACATCGGGGGGGAGGGGGACGACACAAATGCAAGTTTTAATAAAACAGACTCCAAGTAAAGTTAAATATACAGAAAGATTAAAAAAATCAATTCAGAAACTGTCCCAAGAAAGTGGAACAAACAAGATATACTGCACTTCCAAACTGATATTTTCCAGAGCAAAAATTCAGTTTTCATCTTCAAAAGTGTAAAAAATAGTTATTTTTATAAACAATATAATTGACTAACATGATTCAAAATGATCCCAAACACTCACACACCTGTTGTCTGCTGCAGTTCCAGCAGTGCTTTTATTGTAGAAGTAGCTGATTGTGATTCATTGGATACATCTTGATAAATTATTGTAGGGCTGGTGTCCACAGCAATTTCATGTTCTGACCAATCCTGACTTCTAGATGCAATCACATGAACAACTGGCTGGGAATCTGTTATATAAAAGAACAAATCAAATCAAAACTGAAGTTTTTCTGACTGTTTACCTCAATCTTAATTTTGTTTGAAAATGTCAACTGTTCATATATTCAAGTTACTCAGTATTCACATACTAAACAAAAGAAGCCTTAATTCCTTTAAATATGATCACATTAAGTTCCTTGAAAACACGGCCTGTTCAAAAACCACTATCAATGTGGAAGAAGAAGTTACTCACTTTGTGCAGTACCTGGAGTTCTTGTAGATGCATTCCCCATATGTGTGCTTCATTTCAGGAACCCCATGCACCTATGCCTTTGGAGATTTTTGGAGCAGTGCTTGTTTGGCCTGTGTATGTACCCAACACATTCTAGTGCCCTATGCTGAGGCTATGTGGTAAATCACTTTCAATTCCTTTTCCACTATCAAGTCCTGCAAAAGAGACTCTGAAGCAGAGGAAGAGGAGGGCAAATTGAGATGCAGGGTGACATGTCTCAAAGAACTCCAGTTACTGCACAATCTGAGTAACCTCTCACTTATTTGAGAAGTGTCCCTGTGGATGTTTGACCTCAGGTAACTCTTAGGTCTCACTTCCATTTATCGAAGGATTCACTCTGGCGATGGATCTTCTGCAGTTTAATTTATGGAATAAAGACCCTCTAAATGGAACATTGAGGGTGCTCCTGCCGGCATTGGTACTCTTTGTGGGAAGTCGACAGGAGCCTTTTTCCTATTGACCTCCCATTGTGGAGACGATGCCAAGCTTGGCTTAAGGTATGTTGACACCAGCTACATTATATATGTAAGGAGAAAGGAGCTTAGAAAGAGAGTACGATACAGGAGCAAAAACGGTGTCTCTCACAACAGCATCTGACTTTGCAGCAGCACCAAGGCATAATGATTAGCAGTATGAACAGAAGACTAAGTTACCATTCAACAGATTTAGACAATTGATACAGCCTTAAATTAGGCTATAGATGCAGATAGCATATTCCACAGCAGCACTATCAGTCTTATAGGGAGCTAAACATGAGTTTGACTGTAACAGATCTTAATACATTCAGAGATACACTTTAATAACCCGTTTTGAAATTACCAACACTTTGTTTTTGTCTGTGATCAGGGTTCCCTCTAGTGTATGTGCCTGTACAAAAAATGTTATTCCCTCCCATCTCATCAGCAGAACCAGATGGCAGCAATCAGCTTCCACGAGGTGGAAGGTAAGCCGGTGGCAGTGGGTGGAAGTGTGAGGGGCCAGGGTCACGTGGCAGCTCCCAGAGCTGCAGCTGCAGCAGTGGCCAGATCTGGGAGCCATGTGGCGATGGATGGGGCTGGTCCTGGAAGCGGGGGCCGTGTGACAGCAGATTGCGCTGGTCCTGGAGCCAGAGGCTGCGTGGCGGCGAATGGGGCTGATGCTGGAACTTAGGCCACATGGCGGCAGCCAGAACTGGGGACAGTATGGCGATGGACAGGGCCAGTCCTGGAGCTAGGGCCTTGTGACGGGAGACGGGGCTGGTTCCAGAGTTCAGGCCACATGACTGTGGATGGGGCCGGTCTCAGGGCCAGGAGCAAGCAGGAGTGAGCGCAGCAGCATTTGGTCAGTAAAAAAAGGGATTAACTTGAGCTGAGCTCCCCCGCGCCATGCATGATTGCTTCAAGTAAGAGCTGTACGAATAGCTGTAACAGCTGTTTGGGAGACAGGTAAGGAGAATGCTGTTGGGAAGGTTGGTCTCCATGAATCAAACCCTTCTTCTAACTACTTTCTTATTTTGTTAGTTAACTTTACTTTCTTGTTTAAAACACTAATCCTTGAGAAATGCCTCCCTATTGACTGGGGGCACAAAGATCACTGCAGTAGACTGCAATGGAGAGTACAAAATCTTTTGGAAACTGCTTTCCAAACAACATGTGGCACAATCCCCAGCTCACAACAGCCAAGCAGAAGGGAGCTCATGTCTATTCGGGCATCCATGGCAAAATAACTGTGTTTCTTTCTGGGCTAATGGAGCTAATTTCATAAATGGAGCCATCTCCTTACCATCACTGTGTGTGGTCCGCTGCAAGTGATGTTGATGACAGCGGAAGGAGAGGACAGAAGATCCTACATAGCCGACCATTGGGAAGAAAATAAACGTAAAAATAGGACACTGATAGCTATTATTGGTTTCAAATATGTGGTAATCACAGCAGTGAGTCTCTTTAGAATCAGCAGAAAACCCTATCTCACGCAGTGGCTCCCTCTAAGGTTTTCCATCCATGAGGCGAATGAGTTTTGTCTCATTCTGTTTTGTGCAATGGAGAGTGTATCCTACACAAGCTCAGAAATGTTAGTCTGAAAGGCCAATTAACATAGTACTCTGAAAGGAGAGCCAGATTTAATTAAGTAGGGATGAAGTCTAACTGGAGGAGGTCTAGCAGAGGGCTATAAATAGAGGAAGTTGGCTAGTGAAAATTTTGCATTATTAACTTTTTTTATTTGACTTCATATTAAGCAAACATTTAAGGTCATGCACATTAATTATCCCTTGTTTTAGTATTTTTTCTCCCATAGCATTTCAAAAAATATATAAAAGATATATGTTAATAACTTGGGTGCCACGGTGGCACACATCTGATCAAGTGCACATGACCTCAATACTGGTGCACAAGACAAAACTTTTTCTGCTCATGTTTGGAAAATCTTAGAGGAAAATCTTAGACTCTCTGTGATGGATACAAATAGTTTAGGAGATCTTCTAAAAGGTATGATCATATCTAAGTTAGAGATGTAAAATCCTGTTTAATTGGCTAATGGTTAAAAATTGCTTAACCTGTTTAACTGATTAAAGGGGAGGGAGGAGAACGAGTCTTGCTGGAACACCTTCCTGTCCATGGCAAGTGGGGAGCTGCTCTAGCCCTCACCAGTTAACCGTGAGACTTACTGGTATAGATTAAAGATAAGGCTTACCAGTTAAACCTTCAATTTCCTAATCTAAGTAAAAATTTTAAATGCCCTCCTCTCATTTAGAGTATGGAATATGTCTTCTGGATTAGTCCAATGTGGTTTTGGGACTAAAAAGGTTTAAATAAAGGTTTAAATAAAATTCTGATAACTTAGTTAAAAATATTGGACATGCTGATAGTGATAAACTTTCTCTGGTGAGTACCATAAATAGAGGGTCTGCCATTAAAACTTTCAATTATCCACCCCTTCAGACAGAGACGATAGCTACAAGGAAGGCTGCCTTCATGATAAATCTAACAAAGAACACACAGCCAATGGCTTAAAAGGATGCCTTTTAAGGCAACTAAGGACTAGGTTTAGGTCC